CCTAGTAGCGACAGCGCACATTTGACAGACAAATAAGTGAGACTTAAAATCAACAAATTTTAAACCGCAGCAAAAACAAATAGTTAATTTATTCAGGGATACTTACCTCCATCGTACTCTGACGCTATGATTAACAGAACAGAACTGCTACCCCGGAAACAGGATGCAACGCGTCATCTCTGAAGCTCCGCCCATGTTGAGCTCCCGTCACCATGTTGAGGTATTGCGCACTGCATTGAGGGGTACTACCAGGGAGGAGAAATTAGCAGAGCTGCCTGCACTGAGTGTGTGTGTGACGAAGTCAGTGGATTGGTACATTTGGACCAATCAGCGGGGGCTTAACGTAACGGCTCCGCGGACGTAACGTAACGGCTCCATGGATTGGTCCATTTGGTTCCGGGTAACGCATGACATCATGAGTTACCCGGAAGAATCAATGGACAGTGACGTTTCTCCAACGAGGCGTTTTGGGGAGGTATTTTCTGTGTTAGAGTTTTACTCGCTACAGGGTGTACTTTGAGGGTTTTGACTCCGCATGCAGAAAAACATTCATAACACACAAGGGGACGGGTAATAACCGGAAAAGCATGACATGGGACCTTTAAATGTTCCACCACACACACACACGCACACGCACACGCACACGCACACGCACACACACACACACACACACACACACACACACACACTTCAGTACATTTCTACCTTTGTCTCCCTGCTGTTTTGCTGGGCAGGTGGCATTCAGTGGGCTTCTCAGAGATGTTGTACTGAAAACACTTGCCTATGAAGTTAGTGACAGCTAAGTTGATCTCTTAGGCTTACTTTTGCACACGTTGATGTTCAGGAAAGATGACTCAGTATGATTCAGACTAAACTAAATGTATAGGTAAAAAACGAAATGGTGTGTGTGTTGTGACCCTCGCTATGCAGGTCTCAAGCAAAGAAAATATTGTCAAATCGTTTTTGAAGGAAACTGACCGAAGAAATAGTCAGTCGGCTGCACCAAAATAATGTAGTGCTTTACCATCTGTGGTCCAGGCCTGGTGGCTGACCCCTGAGGAGGCAGCAGGTTCAGGCCGGCCATCAATGAACACACAGCAGAGTGAGCAAGACAGCATGTCCTTACCTGAAGGAAAGTTCTTACACACAGATTATGTTTTTATCCGTGTGGGTCCCTGCTGAGTGACGGTTAAGATTATCATAGTGTTCATGATACAAATGTAGTATAGGAGTTATGATAATATGGAACCTGTGTGCTGATGCAGATAGGATGAATCTGGCTTGTCACATCATCTTTTCAATATGTCGTGGATTTTACACTTTGGCTAGTGTCTGTCTGTGACAAAGAATTTGCACATGTTTGGTGAACACTATATTTTGTATTTATGTATTCATAAAGTAAATGTCTGTGTCATTCAAGTGGTGTGTCAGTTTTTGGCTGAATTGCCCCTTTTTGAGATTTTTTTTGTTTTTTTATCCCAAAGAGGCAGGAAACCTAAAATAAAAATGTCACCAGGCAATATGTAGAGATTTTCAAAGATAATGAGACCCTCCCAAAATCTCAAAGGATTTAAGCCGAGAACACAGACTTATTTTTATATGAAAAAGTCCCCCCATGCAGCGTTAGTGGTGCATGTCTGCTGAATGTGTGGAAGTGGCAGAAATATTGATGAATCCGTGGCTCTAAGAACAGGAACAGCTGGTGCACTGACACCCGCTGACACCCAGCGCTTGACGCCACCACGTTACCATGACAACCGCCTGTGCACCCTCTGTTTCTGACAGCTGTTCCCATGGCGCCTGGGCTTGGCTCAGCTCCTGGACTCCTATTGGCATGATAGATGGCTCCTGGGGGTCAGAGGTCATGTTTATGACCTTGCTGCCACGGCGGTGTCATGTTGTTTTTCCATTTAAATTACGTATGAATCAGTTTACCTGAGGTTATCCATTTGTCATTTGTTTGTACTATTAGTCAAATACTAACAGTTTGGAGTGAAAACAAGACAACAATTCAGATTCTCTCAGTACGTCTGCATGTGCAGTCACTTGAAACATCTGGGTGTGTCTGGAGAACTGCAGTTCTACTATTGTGGCTGCTTTATAACAGCCTATACTTAATTATTTTTAAAACCTTCTTCCCCAGTCTAGCACAGTCCAAACTGGTTATGTTAAAAAGATCAGAATGGGTGTGAAGGTATAAAAGGATGCTCTCATTTAACAGCGATCATTTAACATTGTATTGTCCTTGCTCTGCATAATAGTTGCCACAGAAGCTTTGATCATGAGCCTTTAGGTTATTACAGCTTATTGTAAAGCCCCCTTCAGGCACTACATACCTTCAGTATTTGATCTTAAACATTACTAACCAAATATTTGATAAAAAAGTATATAAGATGTGATTATTCAAAAATTTCCGCCTAAAGCTGTGTTTTACAAATCATTTTCTAACCTTGACATCAATGTGTATTTTTCCATTAATTATTCCTTACCTTTTTCTTTTTTACATTCTACGTCATAAAATGAACTCTGTCAGCTGATTGGCTGAATATATCTCAGTGCTCTTAGTCACCTCCCTGTGCCTCTGTGTCTGTTCCAGCGATGTTAATAGATAGCAAGAAATATACTGTAGGAGGAATGTAACAGTTTCTGTCAACTCATTTCCTGGATTTGGAAACTTGGACATAATTACTTTTTGGGAATCAGATAACATTTCATCGACAGGAAGACAGTCGTTTATTCATCTGAATAGTGTTTCTAAAGACACATCATCTCTCCTGGACTTCAGATAGGTCATGGTGGATGAGGGCTTTCTGTTTGATTTTTTCCATCACCAGAATCAGCTGACAACAGATCAGGTGTTATGTTTTCCAACTGTTTTCTACCCAGCAACTAAGGAGGACATGTCTGCTTTCAATGGATCCAGGTGACCTACTTTATCATCAGTCCAATGATTTTGGAATTCGGCACAAAAAAGGACGTTGAATGTTAGTTTGAGATCTTGGAACGTGTGCTTTAAGACTTCAGCTGCTCTTTCACAGTCATATTTCAGAAATGGCGCCGATTTTTCTCACTCTGAATCATTAAACAGTGTGCAGGAGGTGTTCAGTTTATTGCTAACCAACCTTCCACTTTCTTATCTTAACTCCACAAAAGTATGTGTGAATGCCAGTGCACTGCATTATCATGATAAATACATTTGGACAAATAACTTGCAGAGTGTAAAGCCAGTGTGCTGCTGCCAGAGACTTCACTAAAGTGTGACTGCCTCCACAAATAGGCAAATTGGCTGCAAAAAGCTGAGAAAGCAGCTCCATCTCCGTCCTCTCTCTCACACTAAGCGAGGTAATTAAAGTGGCTGTCTGGGTCCCCTATATGAGAGCTATGGTATGCTAATGCTCTATTCCTTTGACACTTCTGTTGAAACAACATCGAGGGTGTTTTCACATGGCCTGATTTGCAATTCACACTCTGGTTATTTCCATCATAGGCATCCCAGGAAGCAGGGAGGGGAAAGGCTGAGAGCAAAACTGAGCTGAAGTCTTATTTAATTGCTGATATTTTTTGAAAGGCACCTTTCAAGTGGTGCTGTAATTGCCAGTTATCTTGCTGGAATGTTATCAAACATGTGTATGCAGAACATCGCCTTTGTTATTTATCTGCACAATTATTCAGTTATTCAGACGTTTCACCACGTCCTTTTGTTATTATGAATGTGAGGGCATTTAGAGAGGAAGATCTGTCTGAAGAGCGCTGGAGGTTAAAGTTTCTCAAGTATAAAAAGTTTGTTATGTTCCACTAATGGGCAGCCTTTCTGATTCCTCTTAGAACACTGCACCAGCAGTTTGAGAGCTACAAACAGGAGGTGCGTCGCATCGGGGGGGATACCCGGCGCCAGCCCCCGCAGTTGAAGGACGACGCGCCCACCTGCGGGATCTGCCGCAAGACCAAGTTTGCAGACGGCTGCGGCCACCTCTGTTCCTACTGCCAGACCAAATTCTGTGCTCGCTGCGGAGGGCGGGTCTCTCTGCGCTCCAACAATGTGAGAAACCTTCCCAAACCCTCCCCCCTCTCACACTCACCTCATCCCCGCTGTAGCTGATTCTGCTTCTGTGTTTGTTGCCGTCTGTTTTGTTGCTTCCTGGTCACACTTTGTTTGTTGTTTGTCTTGGCACCAGTCATAGACCCTTCAAAGCTCATTTCGACTCTCAGGCTGTCGTGTTGCTGAATTGTTACAAATCGAAGCGTTTACCTCACTTGAACATGAGAGCACAGCAGTTAGCATCAAGCTAGCATGTCGGACAGTGAGAGTGCTGTGTTTTAGGAATCTGGCTCTAAGATATGTATCATCTGTAGTGCCGTGAAAAGGGAGTCGGAGGCGGTGTATTCAGAATGGAGTTCCAATCTTTATTAGCCATTAATATCAGAGAGGTTAACACATGACTGCTCTGCTTGATGCGCTAGCAGGAATGGCGGCTGAAGTTACAGGTGTTCCCTATTAAAGGGTCCGTGTGGCAACACAATACGAGATGTGAATTATGTCCAATAACGTGTCACCACACAAGCCCCCCCAGAATTCACGTGTAAACAAAATCCGTATGGCGGGGAGGAACAACCCGCCTGCCCCCACGAGACCTGCGCACCGGCGTCGGTGCAGCGACCTCCGCCTGTGCGGCCCCCGACAGAGGAATCGAAGCCGGGGGTCGGCCCCGTCTCGGCGGCCGAGCCAGCACCACCGGCCGGTCCACGTCCAAGTGAGCAGCCTTCACCCGGTCAACCGAGACGTGCTCAGCCTTGCCGCCCTGTCGACCACCAGGTGTTTGTCACCGTGTTCCAAAACCCGGAAAGGTCCGTCGTAAGGGGGCTGCAGGGGGCCTCTGTGTGCGTCGTGCCGTATAAAAATGTGCTCAGCCGAGCGTAGCTCCGCGGGAACTTGAGACCCCAGCGCACCGTGCTGAGCAGTCGGGACTGGAGTGAAAGCCTCCGCTGCGTCTCGCAGAAAAACTTGCTGGGCCGTGGCAGACCAGGGAGCTGATGCATTTGGGAGGAAAACCCCCGGAACCCTCAGCGGCTGACCGTAGACCATCTCCGCTGTAGAACACTGCAGATCTTCCTTAGGTGCTGTCCTCAGGCCCAGCATCACCCAGGGCAGCTTGTCGACCCAGTTGCCGTCCGTAAGTCCGGCCTTGAGGGACGCCTTCATGGAGCGATGGAAGCGCTCGCAGAGGCCGTTAGCCTGAGGGTGGTAAGCGGTAATCCTGTGCAGCTTAACCCCCAAACCGCCTGCCACAGCGTTCCAGAGCTTGGACGTGAACTGAGAGCCCCTGTCTGAGGAAATGTCCGACGGGGTGCCAAAACGACACACCCACGTTGCAATGAAGGAGAGGCAATCAGCAACCAGGTTCGACTTGCCAGCCACGTGCTTAACGTCCGTAGTGAACTCCGATATGTAGGAGAGCTGCCGCTGCTGGCGTGCCGACCAAGGCTCCGCCACTTTTGACATGGCGAAGGTGAGCGGCTTGTGGTCGACAAACGCCGTAAATTCACGGCCTTCCAGCATGAAACGGAAGTGCCGCACGGCCAAATAAAGCCCGAGGAGTTCCCGGTCAAAGACGCTGTACCTACTTGCGTTCCCTAGGCGTCAACTGGCGGCTGAAAAAGGCGAGCGGCTGCCAAGCGCCCTCCACCCACTGCTCGTGCACTGCGCCGACCGCGTAGTCCGACGCGTACGTGGTGATGGAGATGGGAGCCGTAGATGATGGGTGTGCCAGCAAAGCCGCCTGAGCCAACGCAGTCTTGACCCCAGCAAAAGCGACGTCCACCTCTGCTGTCCAGTCGATTGCCTGGACGGGGGTCTTGCCTTTCAACGCTTCATACAGCGGCCGCATGATGTGCGCGGCCCGGGCGATGAAACGGTGGTAGAAGGTCACCATCCCCAGAAACTCACGGAGCGACCGTGCTGTGAGCGGGCGAGGAAAAGCCGCAACAGCCTCCACCTTCGCTGGCAGAGGAGTCGCACCGCCCTTGGTGACGCGGTGCCCCAGGAAATCGATGTCAGACACCCCGAACTGGCACTTTGCAGGATTGATGATCAATCCATGTTCGTTGAGCCGCGTAAAAAGGGCTCGGAGGTGGGACAGGTGCTCCTGTACTGAAGCGCTGGCGACGAGTATGTCGTCGAGGTAGACAAACACAAACGGCAGGTCCCGCAGCACCGAATCCATCAGGCGCTGGAACGTCTGAGCGGCATTCTTGAGTCCAAAAGGCATCCGCAGGAACTCAAAAAGTCCAAAAGGCGTTATCACTGCTGTCTTGGGAATGTCCAGGGGGTGCATGGGCACCTGGTGGTATCCACGCACCAGGTCCACCTTGAAAAACACCACCCTTACCGGCCAGATGCGCCGAAAAGTCCTGAATGTGCGGCACCGGATAGCGGTCAGGCGTAGTGGCGTCGTTGAGTCGGCGGTAATCCCCGCACGGTCGGAACCCGCCGTTGGGCTTGGGGACAACGTGCAGGGGGGAAGCCCAAGGACTGTCGGAGCGGCGGACAATGCCCAGGCGCTCCATGGTTGCGAACTCCGCCCTCGCTACCGCCAGCTTAGAAGGGTTCAACCGAGTCCATGAGCACACAAAAAATCCGCTCCGAGGAGGGGAAAAGAAATGACCGCTGTCACGAAATCCCAGCTGAAACGCTGTCCTCCGATGCACAAACACATAGGCCTCACGCCCATACTTGCCAACCTTTAGACCTCAGAAATCTGGAGCATTTCAAAATGC